ACTAAGTCTGCTGTGATTGGTTGGTGAGTTCCTTAAGGTTAAGCTTTGTTTTTGTTTTTTTCTTATGACCTTGATTTGGGACGTAAATATTGATTGGTGGGTGCAGAGTAGCAGTGGAATCTAGGATGCGCATTTCCTCCTATTTAGGAGTCGTCTCATCTGGATGTATCTGCATTGAATTAAATAATTAATAAGACCCTATGCACAAGAGATGGTCATCGTGGCACAAATGGTCTAGTGGATAACGCTTTGGCGTTTGAAACTATGGGCACTGGGTTCGAGCCTCGGTGGTAACACCACCACTCACTGAGGAATGCAGGTACATCAAGCAGCAGGACGAGTCGGAAATGAGACGAACTGCTAATCTTGGATTCCTGTACTGCTAGTGACCATCCACCAATTAACTCCTCGACTAAATTAGTGTAATTATGTTTTCTGAGCATATTAGTTCATAATGGTGACGCTGTAACTGTCTCGTTCATCTATCATTGAAACTACCCCCCCTTTTCTATCTGTTAAACATACTACTTCAAACTGACGTATGAGCCGAAGATGTTGCCCGGTAGGCCAATGAAACCTTCGCAAATAAACCATCCTGCTGAGAGAACACAAATGCATCAAAAAACACATTACTTCTTGACCACTCACTTACAGTTTAAAGTGCATACCTCCCCCCTTTCTATAGCCCCTACTACTTCTAATCTTATAGGAGAGAAAGAACGTAAATTACACTGTGTGAAATTTTCTCTTGTCCATCTTTTTGGCCAGTATTTCCTTCAGCGTCTCGACTTGACACACTCAAAGCATCAGTCTTTCTTGGCACTCATTCGTAGCACCTCTACCTCACGCTGCAAATCTCTAATTTTCTATTTCCACTGGCTTGATTTCGGTAGCTTTGTTGCGGCTACCATTGTGCTCAACAGCTGTCTGGTCACCTTTCCTAGCTCATCAATGTCCATGGGTTGTGCAGCGTTAGCCAGTTGTAGTTGCTGAAGAATGTGGTCTGGAACACACTCTCAACAAACTAACTTTTCGTCCAATGTGGGTAGTGCGAGACGTAGTAGGTTCGTCAGCATTACAGTCAAAATTGGCGGTTCTCCGTCAGGTACAAGAGCTGAACTGCTGCATCTCCAGCTGGATATCTATCGGTCTGTAGACCTCCTCCGCCAATTGTTCAACTAACACTTCCGGGTGTCTTTATCACGTATCCACTACAAAACTTCTTAAGCCGCCTCTCACCGACCTATCAGCAACTTCTCAAACACCACCGCCTTCGCCGTCAGTCCTTGATGCTTACCAACTTAGCACCTCAGGAGGCTGCTAATGTCTCCTTCTTCGAAAGCAGCAGACCTCGGGATCTTCACTGTCTGGAGACAGCAGCACCAGATGCAACGGTGGAAGACGACAGACTTGGTAACGGAATGTTTATTTTGGAGTTTTATATCTCTATGTAGGGAAATTATTTTCAGCCTATAAGAAAATTGTCATTTGCACTGAGGTTCGGAGCTGTGTTACTAAAGGCGTTCTTTCGGATTGTGTTTCTTTGTCTTCTATTCGTTTCTCTCATGTTTCTCCACAACACTGGTTGTTCATTTCCCACTCTTTGACGTCAAATCTATCTCTCCGCTATTTGATATTTTTGTGCCGTCTGTTTACATACTACTGATAAACCTTCTCAGTAGCACATGCCATAACAGTATCTTCAAAGCAGGCTTTAGAATGAAGTAAACTTCTTCAAATCCTCACTAATTTTTATATATCAGCCAGGATTTAGGAACGATTGGATATTGTAATGCAGCCATAACTAAGGCGTTTTGAATGCTATAGGCATTTCGAAAGGCTTTCAGACGAATCGATGAGTCTACGTTCAAAGTCCTGCACGCAGCATATGTTAGACCACATCTAGAAAACTGTATACAAGCAACTAATCCATACTTTAGGAAACAGGCGCATACCTTGGAAAGAGTACACAGGGGGGGAACCGATTTAGTTAGTAATATCTCACAGCTTCCTTATGCAAAGAGAATAAAACACTTAAGTCTCCTACTGTTTCCATACCGAAGGAGGATCTGATTTACCGGTTGACCTTTTTTAGCTTTTCCTCTCCGTCTCTAGGATAACCAACATCATCGACAAGATAAATTGCAACGACTGTGGATACCCTCTTAGTCTTCATAACTATGAACGTAAAGTGATCCTCAAAAGACACAATATCCACTCCCTCACATCAACGCATGCAGAAGACAACCACAGACACCATTTCGATCAGGATAATATTGAAATCTTCAACTCAGGGAACATAGAAATGGTGCCAGAGAATTTCTAAAAGCTTGATATTCAAGTGAATCGACAGTCAGCACACACACACTGTAACTCAGACAAGATTTACCAGTGCATAACAACGAAATCACATGAGTAAAAGTTCAACCTCAAGGTCAAGGAAACAATCAATAGGAATACAAGTGAACTATACAAAAACAACCAGTCACTTCCAGAGCTAAGAGAAGAAGTGACTAATAACGTTGTGGAGAATTTTGAAAGCTCACTTCAAAATGAAGTGTGGTGCTGAGGATGTTGTCTTGTAAGGTAATGAAAACCTTGCAAGTAAAGCATCCAGTTCGGAGAACACAACTACATCAAAAGCCATCCACCTGAGCTGTAAATCTCCTCAATTATATCTAAATTATGTCTGTGGATTGCCACATAAAGTCGAGTTAATTATAAACTTATAATCTATCAGTGTGTGTGTGTGTGAAGAGGAATGGTCACAGAGGACTGAGTCTTATTACAGATGGACTGGTGTGACGTCATTCAATATGCTACTGGTGAATATTTTACTCGAAGATTCGTTTCAGAGAGTAAATAATTTGCAAGAAATTATACTAAGAATTCTGCAAAACCCCGGCGGTGAATGAGTACTGACGAAGAGTCTCGAACCAGGACGAAACGGCTGTCCAGTACTCCCTGTTGGTTTTCCAATAGTTCTCTAAGCGATGTCAGCTCATGATGAAATCCTCCAACCAATCAAATATATATGAACAATTTCCAAAACCATATATGTATATATAAAAGGACAAATACTTACAAGACACAACGGAGCCCCTGGCACAATCACCAATTCCCAGCTGATGAGGGATTAATGAATCCTGTCGTTCTTTTACCATAATATCAGATGGTACAGTCTGGCTATTGTTATTTGCTGAAGACGATGATGGCTGAAGAGTTTCTTGATGGTGTCTACCTTCTTCTGAGGTATTTGAATCTTGTCCTTTGTTGACTTTACGTACAAGTTTACGCTGAAAAGGTTATAAGATGTTTTGTTTACAGAATGAAATCTCAAACTTTCGTTTTTATGTATAATCAAACCCAATACTGTAATATACATTAACAGTAATAATGATCGGTTCAAGAAAGATTCAAGTTATTCATATATATTCATATATGTTACATATGACGTTCACTAGCCGCAAGTTGTTCTCTACCTCTGTAAAAGATAAGCTCCTCCCTCTGGTCGCCTCCATGTGCATCCATCAGTTCATCTGCTCTTGTGGAGCAAGGTACATTGGCCGTAGTTAGACGATGCTTTCCACACGGATACGAGAACATATTCCAGTCTGGTTTTATAAGGGAGAAAGGAAGTGTGTGCGAAGCTGTATTCTGGAAAACCTGATCGACTTCTGCCACTCTGTCAACCCTAACCATGATTTTAAGATCATATATAGAATCCATGCTAACTTCCCGCGTTTTCTTCGTTACAGACTTCTAAAGACAGCTGAGGCCTTGGCAGTTCATGAATTTAAGCCAATCCTTTGTGTACAAAAGAAGTATGTACAATCCCTACTTCTGTCTTGGCCGTAGAGGGATAGACATCTATTTAATTGTTTATTTAGTTATTCTATGTATTCTTCCCTTATTACTACGATTACTATTGTTATTACTATTCTCACTCTGAATCATTTCCATTTGACCCACTTGACATTTTAAACCCAAAATTATTTTTTTTTATTTTTACAGTATTGAATTCTATCTTATCTAATTTCACACCATGTTATGTAACATTTTATATTCGTCTACTAATCTTATAATTATGTACCCCTTTCAAAATCTATACACCTTATGAATTATTCTATATACGACATTAATTATTTTGCCACTTGACATTAAACTATGATTATTATAATAAAGGTTTTTGTATTTCCCAATGAATGAAAAACAAAACGATATTGTTGTTTTTACTGACTTTTCGCTATTTAATGATGCTAATAGCTTTATCAAAGTGGTATTATTAAACCGGAATTTACAAAATCTCAGTATATATATATATATAACAAAGAGTTAAGAGGTGAGAAAATAGACAAGTTAGGTCAAGCTAAAAGGACATATTGAAAGTCAAAATAACAATGAAGATCACTAAACCAAATAACAGAGGTAATAGTACATCTGCTATGGTATCAAAATAAAGTTTACTAACTTGATCATCGTTCGTCTGTCTGGGGTCACTTTTCGTTGTCAAGTTGGTCAATTGGTAAAGATAAAAAGACCAAAATCAAGTATAAGTTGTTGGATTTGATCAGTGTTTAAAATTATAAAAGCAGTGTGTGTTTACATAGTGGACTTGCTTATCACATTCGTGTTGATTTTGTCACTTGATGGGGGAGGGGAGGGAGTTGTTGTAACCAGGTCAGATTCTGTTTTAGTCTATCATTCCTATTCCAACAATTTGTATTCCACTTGATATGAAGTGCTTCTGATATTAGACATTCTTTGTGATTTCTGAAGTTTTTCCGGATTATTTCAATATTGTCAAAATCATTTTTGTGACCTGAACTTGAGAAACTTGAAAAATCATCAGCCATAGGTCTACATGCTTTAGAATCAGACCACAAAATTGATTTTGACAATATTGAAATAATCCCGAAAAAGCATTTCAGAAATCACAAAGAATGTCTAATATCAGAAGCACTTCATATCAAGTGGAATCCAAATTGTCAGAATAGGAATGATGGACTAAAACAGAATCTGACCTGGTTACAACATCTCCCTCCCCTCCCCCATCAAGTGACAAAATCAACACGAATGTGATAAGCAAGTCCACTATGTAAACACACACTGCTTTTATAATTTTAAACACTGATCAAATCCAACAACTTATACTTGATTTTGGTCTTTTTATCTTTACCAATTGACCAACTTGACAACGAAAAGTGACCCCAGACAGACGAACGATGATCAAGTTAGTAAACTTTATTTTGATACCATAGCAGATGTACTATTACCTCTGTTATTTGGTTTAGTGATCTTCATTGTTATTTTGACTTTCAATATGTCCTTTTAGCTTGACCTAACTTGTCTATTTTCTCACCTCTTAACTCTTTGTTATATATATATATATATATATATATACTGAGAATCATATGAACTGTGATCAAGATTTGACCGAATAGTTGCAAAATAATTGAGCGCTGAGTGAGAAGTAGACATTTATAAATTTATATTTGTAATATCTCAGCGAAATTGAAATAAGTAATTCGAACGTTTCGTTCGGCAACCTGGTGCGAACTTCTTCAGGGAAAATAATCGAATTAAAATAACAGAGGTTTATATATATACTGAGATTTTGTAAATTCTGGTTTGATAATACTTTGATAAAGCTACTAGCAGCATTAAATAGCGAAATGTCAGTAAAAACAACAATATCGTTTTGTTTTTCATTCATTGGGAAATACAAAAACCTTTATTATAATGTACAATTCATTATTGTTCATAATTATATCATCAATTGTAACTACACAACTTTGAAACTTCCGTTATATAGTTTCCTTTATTCCTCTCTATTCATCGTGGAGGATCTTCCATATGGCCGGGGCATCTGTTCAGTCATTGCTATTACACGTATTTTCAGTTTATTCGACGAATAAGGCCTCAGTTATCAGTCTCTCCCTCCACTCTGTCGCATGAGAGCTTCTGAGACTGTCATCTTGTTCCATCCTATTGTATGGTTGTGTGAGTAACTGCATGTAGTGCTATCTATATATTTGAACTATTCTCCAGATTTCTTATCTTATTAGGGTCATCTAATCTAGATTTTGGTAAGATTCTGTGCTCTGCTTGTCTGTTTGATCCCATGCCTACTACTCGAGCATGTGTATTTCACGTGACAGTTAGTGTAGGCTATTGGAAGCTTTGACCGACACAATTTGTTTCGGAGTTAGTTTTGTGGGTGATTGAATGCCACTTCTGTTCCTGCCTGCCTGCCTACATTGTTAAGAATTCTAAGTGAGGAGGTTTCTGAGGTTCGTTCTTTGTTGGTGTCGTCATCATTCTGATGCATGTTTGTCATGCATGCCATCGTTATTTTTGTCATTGTTGCGTCGGTGGCACAGTGGTTAGGACTCTCGCCGACCATGCACATGGTCTGGGGTTCGATCCCCTGCCGGCGCACACCCGATATCTATGGTCGGCCTGAATTTGGGCTACCGATATCCATGCTGAAAATTCCACACCTGTACTGAAAATACGGTGTGGAATCAAGCTGTAAATCAAAAAAAATACTATTGTTATTATTATTAATTTCATATTTACATATTTCCTACATACCTTCTGATTAATTTATCAGGGTAGTTCCTTCGCCTTCCAAGTGGAACATAGTGGTATTATGCTTGGACTTTAGAGTTTCGGTAGCAGTAATGTTGTTTTTACGGGATGATGTTGCTAGCTTAACACCTAACCTTCCCTTTTTTATCAGGATTCCAGCCGGCTAGGGAAGGCAGAGATGTGCCCCAACCGGGAACTGAACCCCGACCATGTGCATAGTTGGCAAGCATTCTATTACTGGACTATCAACGTGCAGAAGGTACCCAGTAGACACAAAAAGTTCATTAAAAACCACTCAAGTGATTACCTCTGAAAAAAGTTGATTCGCTTTTTCAGACTATTTCAACGATTCTTAGATCCTACGACACAATGCCAGTTAGGGAGACCATTGAAAATAAGCTGAAGGCATTGGACATATCCGTTTCGTTTTATTCTAGATCTTTTTACAGTGCGCACACCCCACACCACCAGCAGTCGAACGCCAAACCTTCAGGTCACGAGATCAAGCCCAGACATCTGAGCTGCAATTCGGTGACCAAAAATCCGGAGCTGCTAGAGCCTTCTTATCGGTTCAGCGTATCCCTGCCGTCCCGCTACCTGCACACGGTCTTCTGTATCACCTAATCTATCACATTTAGGAATATCATCGGTGACAGTAGGCGGCCTTGTCCTACATAATTCTAATGTATATGTGTTCTAAAACGTTCACTTGAGCGATTGGATTATCGATCAACCAAAAATAAAATGTGTATGTAACACTTGAATGATCGAGATCCTAGATCACAATTGACCATTTTATTATATTCACATTGTAGGATTTGTGGGGTATTTTGGATTCATTACAATAGTTCTCTTCCCGATGGGATCATGGGCGCACACTGATGAAGAGTCTCAGAACAGGACGAAACAGTCACATATTTCCTCCACCTGCTTTCCAATGATTTCTCGACTGGTGCTGGTTAGTGACAAAATTGACACCAAAATTAAAATTATTACTGAAATGAAATCTACATCAGTAGTACCATAATAAATGAATTTACTTCAAATAGCACACAGTGGTGCAGTATTGATTACTAGATGATTTCGCGAGTAGGATTTATTGCTCATAATCATATCAATTTTAGTCACACGGCTTCACAATTTGTCTTATATACATATATATCTTCTCTTTCTCTTTCTCCGACTGAGATGGTTAGGACATACGTTACTCAGGGCCATCTATCCATCGCCTTCATCGACGGTGAATGCTAAATGACATTGGATCGAGCTAGTCCTCATAGAGAATGGATATCCTCCAAGATTTATCGAGAAAAACGTGAGGTTAAGGGAAAAGCCTGAAAGAACTCAGACGGTGCCGAAGAAACTACTATTTATAAGTGATGAATTTAAAGGTGATACAGCAGCTGAGATCCTGAAGAATCGCTTAAGCAGATCACTGAGGAAAGCCTTCTTTATGGCTGAGCTACGTATCAATTTCCACAGCTCACAAATGATCAATGGATGTGTGGAAGATAAACTACCGCTTTGGGCCACCTCAATGTGTGTTTATAAATTCATCTGCTAGTGTGGAGCTAGTTATATCGGCCAAACAAAGCGCACACTTTCCAAACGCACTTCTGAACATTATCCGACATGGTTAGCAAAGGGACAATGCAAGACAATTACTAACTCAATTCTCGAGGAATTGGTGAACTCAAGTCACTCAGCTCCACCAGATTCGTATTTCAAGATCATCTACAAGGTGAAGGCAAATTGTACAAAGAGCATCAGGTTTCGGCTTTTGTGCATTGCGGAGGCGTTGGCAATTCGTCAATACAACCTCGAATTCTGTATACAGAAAAAGTATGTCCAGTCTCTTATTCTACCTTGGTCTTAACCTCTTCACTAGTCGTTCCCCGTAAAATAATTTTATTTTTAATTTCCAATTTTACTTTTAGTTTGCTTTTACTTTAATAATTAATTCGCTATTAATACTCTCATATGTTCCTTTTGTACATTTTCACATCCTCTTCACACTTGTTAAATTGACACTCAAATACCACCTTTATTCTCACTCAATAACAATTTTAACCTTATCAAATTTCTATCTTTGTGACATTGAGAAACCACCTAATTTACAACTTTTAACTTTCACTTCTAAAGCCACTTCCGAGTAATTATATGAATTATGTCACCCTCTATTACTCAATAATAGACCACTATATATTTTTCGGTAAGTATAAGTACGACTGTACAGCCTCTGAAGATGATCTCGTCGATAAAAATTTTCTTCTCTGAATTTATCTTTTATTCGGATTATTTGGGGAGCTCCTTAAGCTGACAAATTTTATGTCTGAGTAAGGTGCTACCCTAATTCCAGCCTCATTGAGAATTCTATGTGTAAGGCCTGTTCTGTCGTTCCTTCACTACACGGCAGTACTACAGAGGCTTTGAATTCTGTATTATTTTCATCGTTTTTGTCACTTTTTTTTGCTAGTCTTAATTTTTCTATAGTTCTTCATATATTTCTGAATAAATTCTGTTGGGTAGTTTCGTTGTTCCCTGGTAATATTTCATTTATTTGTTTGATTTCGTTAATTAAATCGTCTGGCGTACTAGTTAGGCCCTCTCCTGACCAGATTATATAAACATTTGACTAAACCAGCCTGTATTTACTGATTCTGAATCAGACGAATTAAAGCCATCTACTTGTTAATATGGAATCACATTCTACCACTACAGTGCCCAAGTTCTATACTTACATGAGTAGTACTTAGTGAATAGTAAGTAGTATAAAAATGTTCAAAGAAATATTGTTTTTTTCTTTTTCTTTATTGTCACTCACTTGTTCATTGACAACAGTATCTGTTTTCTTTTGTCTTATTACTTCAACTGAACTGATAGGTCTACTTGACTTGAAACTTGGAACAGATCGTCTAGCCTCTGTTTGACTTTCACGTGTTGAAATAATTTCTGGAGTTGTTCTACTGTCAGTGGAAAACTTTGGAGATATTTTGATATTTTCATTTTCATGTGTTTGTGAGGTATCATGAATGTTTACATTTGGTTTTGTATTCTAAATAGTGAAGTGATAGTAAGGGAAAGAAATCAAAGTTTTAATGTTATTCTAATAAGTGTCATTATTCAATGATAATAATAATAATAATTTGCTTTATTCCAAAACAGTACTTGTGATACAGAATAGAATTCTCAGCATTTTCACTACAGTATTGCATCCAGTTAGTACATTATCAATAAATAGAATTCTTCATAGATTAAGGAAATCTCAGTTAATTATGACAACAACATATTGGCCTGTTGGTAGCAAAGCCAAAGTTGAACAGTGTTTGAAGGTGTTAGAGAAGTAGGTGCTGTCATATTTACTGGCTTAAGCGGAAGAAAGAAACAAAGTAGCACATAACTGAAAAAAGGGAGAGAGAGAGAAAAGGAAAAGAAAGAAAGAAAATGTTGTACCTATAAATGATGTGAGTTGGAAAGACGAGATCCAGTTGTTCTACTGACTATTTAATGAATTATAGGTGTCACGCCTAATGCTTTCTTTATCGCACAGAACACGAGCTCAGTAGGGTATGGTTGAGTTTTTATACTTGCTGGTGCGAGCATATAGTTTTCTGTATAGGCTTCTGGTTTTGCCTGATGAGATGCAAGAAGAGAGTTGTGAGTGAAGAGGGTTGTGTGAGTTAGATAAAATGGACTTGGCCCATTTCTCACAGGAGTCCAAGTGCCTGTCGACCAGAATATTAACAAGCTGGTTAAGTGGCACGTTGCTTACCCTGCTGACAACACTTAACATCCTGCGTAATAAGGTATAGTCTTTCTTCAGAAGCCCTGGAAAAACTAAGAGGAAACAATAGAGAATAATGGGCAGAATGCGAGAGTTAACGAATTGTAGGAGTAAGGGTTGGGGCGTTATTCCAGAATGTTTCAACTTCTTGATGTAGAAGGTAAGACGGAATATTTTCTTGAAAACCGCCAAGATATGAGACTACCAGGAAAGATCAGTAGATAGAATGACACCTAGGTATTTAATTTCCGACTTGGTTTCTATTTCAGTGCCATCTATTTTGCACACCTCGTGAGAGCCAACCAGTTTGTTTAGGTCGGATTTATGCCTAAAGGTTAAATTGACTGTTTGGCATTTGGAGAGGTTTAAGGTAAGACCGTTTTCCTTGGACCACTGACTGATTTCTGATAGAAAGCCATTAAGTTTAGAGCAGTCGCTTTGACATTTGGCAGGCAAAGATACAGTCAGGTCGTCAGCATATTTGACAAAATTAATGTCGTTTGAAGATGGTAAGTCATGTAGAAAGAAAGAAAAGAGAAATGGAGAGAGTACAGCACCTTGGGGGACATCAGCTTCAGTGAGCGCAGTAGAGGAGGATTTACCTTTGTATACGGTGTACTGCATTCTGTTAGAGAAATAGCAATGCAACCTATTATTATTAATTTTAATAATGTTATTATTGTTATCATGACTGCATTGGATTCCAAGTGGAATATGGGACTTCAGCAACATACCTCCACTTCGTCCTATTCTCTGTTGTTCTCTTCAGCTAGCTAGGTCAAAGACTGAAGATAATCTCTCATCTCCTCCCACCCATTCGCATGAACACTTCCATGTCACTATCTCACTGACCACGCACTCGTCGCTTCCATTTGGGATTCGACTCAAGCAATGGCCTGCACTGAGTCCGATGTCATTCGATAGCCTCTTTAACGTTTGCTCACCCGATTTCCATTTCTCCCATTTATTTATTGAGCAATTGGCTTTTGGTTGGTGCATCACCACCCACCCCCAGTGTTTGCTGTTGCTAATTCTTTTTGTGGCCCGCATGCTAGCCGGCTGTTTGATCTGTAGTATGGAGCCAGCCAGCGAATAGCTGTTGATGAAAGTCTGCAACCTATTGGAAATCCTTTTCGTGACACCCAATACAGTCATCTGACTGATTGAACATTTGTGTTGAATAGAATCCGAATCTTATTCCTTATGCTGGCTGATTGAGTGAACCAAAAAGATTTCCAAACTGGATTCAGGTTGATGAAGGCGTATCTTTCCTTTCCAGTTCTGACTGTTTTTGCCATCTTCGTCTGTCTGTATTTGAAATCGTACTTTCTAGATAAGTGAAGGAAGTCAACTCTAACAAATCTCTCCCGTCGATGGTGATTGGCGCTGATTGTTGTTGCTGTTGGTTGGTTGATTGGTTATCTTCATCGTCTCCGTCTTCTGTGTGTTCTCCTGGAGTCCTGTCCTCGCAGCACTGCTTCTCCAGCTAGTATTTTGGTTTTCGCCTGCCTAGAACTCTTCGAGTTTGTATGACATTAAACGTATATGGTCTGAGAAATCCAGATATTCAAGATACCACTCACAAAACTTTCCGAATGTACTTTATCTTTCTTTCTGTTTCATGCATGTATTTTTTTCCTTCACGCTCCAGGTGGAACATAGGGCTTCAAGCTAGAGGCTTGAAGTTTCTATAGCAGTGTTTATTTTACAGGATGGGGTTGCTAGCCTCATGCCCAACCTTTCCTCTTCAGCAGCTTTTAGTTCTGGCTTAGCGAGGTAAAGGAGTGCGTCCAGTGGCCGGTGATCGAACCCCGGACCATATGCATAGTCGGCGAGCGTCCTAACCGCTATGCCACCGACGCCATGTCTTATATTGATTTTATTCATATGTTTAGTCGATTTTTTATTCATGTATATAGACGAAGCAAGAAAGTTGTGTGAGTGGCGTCTTCATATGATTATGAGCACTAGTAAATTGTTCTCGAAAAGTAGCCATCAGTAAATATACCTGTATAACACTGTGCGATTCCCAACAAGGTTGGATCAAGAGTCTGTCTGCAAGAATCAAACTTATACAAAACACGTTTCCCTATCTCCGACAACACAAGGTCAAGCAATCACTCCATAGCATAACCTGGACATCACTCAAACAAAATCGCATGTTATTTACGTCGCGCAAACGCAAAATAGAAGCATTCAACTTAGGGATCAACTGGAAAGCAAGGACAATTAGTTTAGGATCGTGTAAAAAGGAGATAAAAAACGTTACAACAAAGATCTACAGATCAGGATCAACGGCGTTAATAACAAAACCATTTGAAACATTGATATCAGTACCGAAATTATACATAGATTGTTCACTTAGGGATATTTTGATTGGAAGCTAGTCAGCAACTAGTGCCAAATATCTAGGTTATGTGATAACGTATCTATTTCAATCTCGATGTATTACATGACATACCGGGAGCAATTATTTCAATCAATAAGTAATCCAAAATACTGAGTGGCAAAGTTCTACAATAGCGTCCCAAGGAATACGAACGCACAAGTGACCTTGAGCCGACCAATCAGCAAATATGAGGATTTCGCATAAAATTTTACGTATGGTTACGTAAAAAGGCATGAGAAAAAACATTAAACAGGGTATTTTTGTCTAATATAAGACAAAAAAGTCTCCCAGTTATAATGAGGAGTTTCAGTTTTTAAATTAAAGAAATTTCTATATATATATTCATCCAAATGACTGAAAATAACTTGGTTTTGAGATCCGCTGACAGCTCTGATTCTATTTTTCAGTCTTCTTCAGAAAACTTCCATTGAATTGGTATGAGTACCGGTTCTGGAGTCGACGAAGTCATCCGAATGGTTGACTCAATGATGTATATATCCCAATTCCGATAATCGGTTATATCCTGCCCATTTATGCGTGTGAATGGTGGTGCCTGGTAAGACGAGTCTCTGAATAACAGGGAGGAGTTTATCAGCACACCTATCTGGAATAAGTTCGATGACTCCTTTACGAATCTGGGTGCCATAAATTCCCAGAACCCAAACGTTGTTAGCTCTAGCTCGTCCGCGATTGTACTTCTTTATAAGAACCGTTTCATCGATATGGACGACTACACCGACTCTTCCCAACACCTGAGTAATGCTATTCACTTTCCAAGACGCTAAATCTCTACAAAACTGGAACCACTGCACAGTAGACGTCAATGTATTATCTGTCTGAGCCGCAGTTGATCACACCCCGGACTTTAAAACCCAATAATGGGACAGAAACAGGATATTGGTCAACTACAGTTTCGACTTTTCAAAGAAAGTTCCTAGAAGACAATTAACTGAGTGTCACTTACCAGTACGCACACTTATTCGCTTCCTACACTGTGTACATCTAAATATATATCCGTCAATGACCTGGGTATACGGCTGGAGGTTCATGGAAGCACCACAACTACATATCCGAGTACGTCCTATTAATCCATTATCTAAGCAGTACTGAAAAACGTGATCTGGATGAAATTTGCATCTCAGCAGATGTACACCGTTCATTTTCGCGCTAGAATAATGGTAAGTTTCTTCAACCAACAACTGTCAAGCGTTCACACTGTTGGGATGCTATTCTTGTACTTCGCCTGCTAAGTTACAGGATTTCATCATGAGCTGATATCAGTTGGAGAACCATTGGAAGACCTGGGAGTACTGGACAGCCGTTTCGTCCTACTTTGGAGCTCTTCATGGTACACACCCACCTCTGTTTGAATCCAGGACCTGCTGGTTACAAGGTGAGGATACACAGTATAACAGGTCAGGCGTGAGGACAAATACTCACCGAAGACGTTGGCTAATGGTTGCGGCATATCGTAAATTGGCAGAAGCTGGAATTCATGGGCTTGCTGGCAGTTGGGTCGGGTTCCAGTGGCCTAATGGTCTAAGAGCTCGCTTATAACCAGAAGGTCCTTAGTTCGAGCCCTGGTGAGTGCGAACTGATGAAGAGTCCCAGACTAGGCTGACGAAACAACTGTCCAGTACTCCCTGTGGCTTGTTTCCCAATGGTTCTCTAATCGATGTCAGCACATGATGAAATCCTGTAACCAATCAAACAAATTTCCCAACAAAACCAATACTTGAATACCAAAATTACTTACTTTATTCTTCATCACAGATCCTTCTGAATACTTCTTCGGACTAGACGGCGACGAGCGGATGATTTCTTTAAATTCTGGATAGTTATCCTCTAAATATTTCGACTGTATGCTACTGTTTACACCGCCATCAGAACTACGATTCTCATTGGCTGTTGTTTTTTGTAAACCGGTGAATGCTCGAGAACAGTTCAGCGCTGCAATCATTGTATGTTTGGCGAGTGATTGGCAAGCGGAGAATGATTTCGGTGATTTTGTAATTGCTGTCAGCCGGGTAGCTAAATCTAAACTCTCAGCGACTGGGAAGTATTTCTGCGACGGGTGACTTGGGGGATGAGGTTTGAAATTCACTGTTGACTGTTGTTTTGTTGAATTTGCAGGTTTCACAGGATTTGTACAGTTTATTGACTCGGTTCTGTCTTTATCTTGGGGTGTATTATCTGTGTGAAGAAGAACAGTAATGCAGCAGGGAAATTTATTCAGGATATAAGTATAAAACTTGGGCACTGTGGTGGTAGAGTATAACTCCACTATGGATAATATTTTATTTTGATAAATCACACAGTGGTGTTGTACAGTAATATTAACTGATGACCACGTTTCGAGCACAAATTATTGCCACTCATAATTTATATCAAGTCACTACTCACATAACATTTTCCTTCATTTATATACATGTCGAAGACGACATCTTTTCAAGCATACTCACTCCTAAAATATGGTAACGATACGCTAAAGATACTTTTGTTATGATCAAACGAGATCTACAAAGTTCTTTCCTGGAGAAAATAAACTGTGTATCTCCCAGAATCCAGTTCACCTCGGAGGCAGAATCACACATCGGTGAACTACCACTTCTAGACTGCCTAGTTAAGAGAAAGTGCGTCGGTGGAATAGTGGTTAGGACGCTCGCCGACCATGCACATGGTCCGGGGTTCGATCACCGGCCAACGCACTCCTTTACCTCGCTAAGCCAGAAATAATGCTGGTGAAGAGGAAAGGTTGGGCATGAGGCTAGCAACCCCATCCTGTAAGACAAACACTGCTACAGAAACTTCAAGCCACTAGCTTGAAGCCCTATGTTCCACTGGGGAACGTGAAGGAAATAAAAAAAAATAGTTAAGAGAAAGGAAAACGGACATTTTAGTATATCCATATTCAGGAAGAAAACCCACCCCAACAATAAATATTTAGACTTCAAATCATCACACCCCATCAGCGGAAAGATTTCAGTTGTTTCAAGTCTTCTTAGACGAGCACACTCTTTGATGTTAACGGATGAGAAAGAAAAAGAAGAAGAAATATCAAACATTACTGAGACTCTCAAGCAAAACAACTACCCAAAGAACTTCATCAACAAAATCAACACTGACGTCAAATATGGTCGAAAAAGTATTCCGAAAACATAGGCCTCAACAGTTGTTATTCCATATAGAGCAGAGACCTTAGACGATGTTAGAAGAGTGCACAGTGAGCACGACATCAGAGTTTTCTTTAAAACATCAGACTCACACACTGCAAAGCAACCTTGTCCATATAAAGGGTCGAATCCCTAAGGATTCTCTATCTAATTATGTCTGTAAAATAAAGTGCTTGGAATGCGATGCGATATACATCGGGCAAACATCGCAAGAGAGAAATCAAAATCAGAAGAAATGAACACCGTTTAGCCGCATCTGTTCGACCACTGAGAAATTCGGTCGAACTAGAAAAGCTTGAAAAATCATCAGCCATAGGCCTACACGCTCTAGAATTAGACCACAAAATTGATCTTGGCAATATTGAAATAATCCAGACAAACTTCAGGAATCACAAAGAACGTTTAATAGCATCAGGGGCAATTCATATCAAGTGGAATCCAAATTATCTGAACTGAATAGGAATGATAGACTAAAACAGAATTTGACCTGGTTACAACACCCCACTCCCCCATGAAATGTCAAAATCAACACGGATGTGATAAGCAATTTTACTACCTAAAGACACGCTGTTTTTATAATTTTATACACTTATCAAATCCAAGAATAATCTACACCTGGTTTTGTTATCTTTACCAATTGACCAACTTGACAACGAAAGGTGACCTCATGCTGAGGAACGATGATTAAGTTGTTATATAATGCAAGCTGAGATTTTGTAAATTCAGGTTTAATAATACTTTGATAAAGCTATTAGCAGCATTAAGTAGCGAAACGTCAGTCTTCTTTTTCATTCATTGGGAAATACAAGAAAACCTTTATTATCATATGGTCTTAGTTACATGAAATGGGAACACTTCACCCTTAGGCTTAACCGAACAGATTTCTTACATGAATACAATCCTGATCGGTTTTCTTAGTAATTACCTAGAACCCGGGACCTTCCGGTTACAAGGCAAGCTCGTATACCATTCAGCCACTGGGACCCGATTCAATGGCTCATGAATTCTAACTTCTACCAATTCTACCAATGCTCGCTAGTGACTTGCTACAGGTTGGAGCTTCCTGCAGTTCTAGTGAGAAGTCGTGACCAGTGAGGTCCAATTAGAAGTCACGTGTGGATGGATTTCCACCAACGACAATAGTTGGGGTCGCGCTAAAATCACGAATTGGTAGAAGTTAGAATTCATGAGCCATTGAATCGGGTCCCAGTGGCTGAATGGTATACGAGCTTGCCTTGTAACCGGAAGCTCCCGGGTTCGAATCCCAGTGGGTGCGTACTGCCGATGATTCCCAAACTAGGATGAAACAGCAGCTGTCCAGTACTCCCTGGTTTTCAATCGTTCTCTAACTGATATCAGTCCGTGATCAACTCGTAAAACATAACTAATCCTTGCAAACCAAACTATAGAAAATTACCTAGAACACAAATAACCAAAGAAGTCAACCTACCATCACTGGCCGCCTTCTCACAATTCCCTGACGACTGTTGTTGTTGTTGCTGTTGTTGTTGTTGAGGTTGTCGATCATAATTGTTCTCTGTGGCCAACAATGATGAACCAATAGTTTGATTTAAATAACTCTCCAACAGTCTATCATTATCCTTTAAATTAGTTACTGATAAGGGAGATTTTTTCAATTTTTGACAATCTTCCGCATGTTTTATTCTACTGTCAGTATTATCCTGCCTGGGTGTGTCATTTTCATGATGATTGTAAACAGCAACATCATCCTCTGTAACGCCATCATCGTCATCACCAACATCATCGTCACAGTCGTTGTAGTCGTCGGTATCATGTTTACATGCAATCCGATTAATTGTTGTCCAACTATGACTAAATTGTTGACTATTTAAAATTGATAATTGATCTGTTGTTTGTTTAAAATGTCTACTTTCAATATTTTGAGTATTGATTTTATTCATTGGCGCATAATTCAAATATTCCTTTGGCTAAAAATATAAGAAGAAGAAAACGTAGAGAAAAGAAACTTGGGTCTCAAGACAGGGACTGTGATTCGTTTTTCGATAACTGCTTCTTCGAATAAAAAGAGAGAATGAATAAATATTTACAGATTTGATAGAACGAGATGGTTTTATTTCGTGGATTCTCTTCAGTTGCTTACATCCTAGACAGAATCAATTTCTAAGCTACAAAATTTCTGAACACGTTTTTTCACAGTGACGTCGAGCTATAGATAGACACTATAAGCAACATTAGCAATTCGAAAAGTTCCATTTTGGATAAAATTTATTTTCATAAAGTCTCACAACGTGGTATACAGTAATATTTACTGATGACGACGTTTCGAGCACAATTTCATTGCTGCTCATAGTCATATGAACATACTACTCACACGACTTTCCTACTTCGTTAATATGGTTCCACTATTTCTCATCTCTTGATTTGATGATTGGTAGTAATATTCTCCATAATAGTGACATGAATGATGAGTTATTCCGATTGCACGTGTTGGGTGTAGTCTATTCTAGGAACAAGGATTCAGTAATCAACCTCTCTCACTTTCCACCTACCTGCATTACATTTTATAATTTTAACTGTCTTCCATCCTATTGTATGGTTGTGCGTTAATGCATGCAGTGCAATTACTGAGCTTTTTTCTAAATTACTTATCTTCACCGGACCAATCATTGTAACCTTAGCTAAATTCTTATGGTCAAACAATCTGACTACCCCCGCACGATCTACTCGTTTGACCTATGTAGTTGACCTCACTCACAGTCATTACAAGGTATTTTGTAAATTATATTATTTTGTTTAATTGGGTCCACCGGGTCTTTTAGGCTGCAGAGCTTGTCTTATCTGAGTGAGTTTGTAGGTTTGAATGCCAACCTAATTCCTGCTTCATTTAGAATCTTACTCGCACCGTCTCAGATGTCTCCTCCGTATTTGGTATAACAGTAGATGACTTATATTCCCTCTTATTTATGTTATCATTACTAGTTTTACAATTATTTTTAATTTGCTTTTGGCCTTTTTCGATCTTCCTAATGAATTTTAAAGGATAGTTATTCAATACCAACGCTTCTTCTATCTGTTTCATTTCATCATTTAGGTCTTTTCTTGTACTGCTTAGTGCTACTGCTCGGTTTGTTAGACACTTAACTAAGCCGCCTGCCTTAACAGTTAACGGATGCGATGACTTAAAGTCTAAATATCTATTAGTAGAATGTGTTGGCTTCTTATTAACGATAGTGTGCAAAGTTTATTTTCTTCTGGTCGTTTAATATTGAATCATTGTTCATCGAATCTAAACCCAACACACGCAACAGAAATGACTCATCAATCACTCATACCAGAGATATGGAAAATACTACTACCAAGCATCAAATCAAGCTATGGAAAATAATGGAATTATATAAACGAAGTTAGAAAGTTGTGTGAGTAGTGTCTTTATATGATTATGAGCAGCAATAAATTGTTCTTGAAATGTGGTCATCAGTGAGTATTACTGTATAACACGCTGTGAGACTTTAGCAAAACAAAATTTTCTCTTACACACTGCACAAGTTCTATTCTTATATCAATAATTCAAAAAATGATGTAAGTGGAGGGATTATTCAGTGTTAAAAGAGTAAATAATTATAAGACGGAGATTTCCTGGAGTTCTAGTGAGAAGTCGTGACCAGCGAGGTCCATCCAGTCAAGTGTGGGGATGGATGTCCTACCGACGACATTGGTTGGTGTCACGCTAAATCACGAATTGGTAGAATTTATGGGCTGGTCATTGAATCGGGTCAGTTCCAGTAGCTGAATGGTATACGACCTTGCCTTGTAACCAGAAGGTCCTGGGTTCAAACCCTTGCGGTGGATGCGTACTGACGATGATTCCCAAACTAGGATCAAACTGCTGTCCAGTGTTACTTGAAAACTAGAATTGACTAGATATAAAATTATGTACACCTTATCTTCAAAGCACCATTTGCACAGATCATCGTATTGTGGTACTTCTGGACTTCATGTTGTGTTTCTTTGTATTCCTTTCACCTCTCCCATGCATTTTCACAACGCTGTATCATTTGTCTTCTCTGAAGTCAAATTTATCTCCCTGTTATTTGATTTTTTTATACCAATCAACGTCTCTTTATATACTACTGATAAATCTTATCAGTAGCACACGCCACAGAACAACTGTGTCAATTTATACATATTATGATGGAGAGTTCAAGAAGAGGGGTGGCATTGTATATTAAAGTAAAATTATAACATAAGCAAAACAATTAAGTAAATTTGGAAAATTAATAGTGAGTTCAACTCAGTAAGAAGGTTTAATGCCAGTAAGCTTCAGCTTATACTTTCTACACAACTGGTTGTGATTCCGAAACTGAAAATCGAAGTACTTACGCGAGGTTGTGAAGTTACATCGACTGCAAGAGATGGTTAGGACATGTGTTATGCACGCCTAGCCTAGCCACTGGCTTCCTCGATGGGCAATGTTAGCTAACATAGGCATCCATCAGGTTAGAAAAGAGCTAGTGGTGGTCAAACCAGAACATGGAATCAGTCAAGGAAGTCCACAATTGTTCTTCGAAGCTAGCGAACCACGTGGGAAGTTGTAGACTTCTTGATTAGTTTGGGTCCTTGGGATGGTAAAAGCCAATGAAAGCTGGAGAGAGTCTATGATTTGGCTCAAAGTCGTTCTCAGTGGTTGGTGCAGATGCATCCACTTTCTGTTGATTTGTCACATCCAAAAACACTCTATTGTTCTTCCATATTACTATTCTTTACTTCTCATATTTCTGTTTATTATCTCTCTCGCTTTTTTGAATCTCTCTTTACTCTCTTCTCTTGTTTGGTGTTCTACAAAGGGAGAGTGTGGGAACTCGAACTGGTGCACATCTGTGCAAAGTTCTACGTTGAAACCAGTCGGTCAGCCGCCATTAGTTGTATCTGCCAGTTTAACCGCTTTTCGTGTGGAGCCGGTTATACTGACCATTCTTCTAAGAACCTAGTTTTTCGTGCTCGTAAAAACCTATTAGTGTGGTTAAATAAAGGTGTTGTTAAGAGCATCAACAGTTATATATTAGATCACTTCATTGAAACAGGCCACAAACTAGCACTGAAGTGTCCTTCTCTATCATCTACCGGGAATCCCACAAATTTTCAAATGCCTGCAGATACTCGACACTTCAAGCAGCAGAGGCCATTGTAACTCACTTAAAACAACCGGTGCTCTGAGTGTAGAAGAAACACATCCAGCCACTATCCCTATCCTGGCCGGCTATCAAACCTATAAATTCAAAAATTCTGTGTTACTTCTCTTAAACTGTCGGATTTTCAGTCAGTTTAGTGTTATGTTAATGCATATTATCTCCCTATCTCTCTTTTATTGATACTTTTGAAATGTAATCTGTCCATACTACTGATTTAGTCTGAACAGTAGATAGCACTTTACACATGACACTAGTTGCTAACTACTGTCCAATCAAAATATCCAATACAATCCGACTGAAGGTCAGTAACGAGCCCAAATAGCTTAGTGGTAATGTCTCTGAATGCAGGCAGCACTGGGTGATGCGGGTTTGAGTCTCAGAAAACACATGAGTTCCTTCATGATTGCAGATACACCTTGCTGACTGATGGTGAGTGCCAACTAGTACGGGACCTAGGTCAAGCTAGGCTTCCTGTCGATTGCCTCCAACCACTTAATTACGTTATCATGTCCATGTCCTGTAAAATGACTACAAAGCAATAAAAGTTTCGTTATATTATGACTGGATAAGGGACCAAGTGTCTCTACGATGAACAAAACTAACAGAACCACAAAAATACAGTCAATTCTCAGCAATGCATCAAATTCAAGATTGATAACCCCCGAAACGATATGGCAGATTTGATAGGAAAGAAGATCAGTAATAATTACTTAGGCTTTGAAGAAGAAAATGACTGACGTTGATTGGACAATTATTAGTGTCTTGTATCCAGTCCTTTATTTGGACCAGGATGAATTTCATCAGCAAAGTCTGCAAGGTGGCCATCACCAAGTTAAGTGGCTTTTCATCATGGTGCACTCTAAATTATTGTTATTAGATGTCTCAGGATTTCTTCATGAACTGACATCGGTTAGAGGACCATTGGAAACCAACAGGGAGTAGTAGACACCTGTTTCTTCAGCCTAGTTTGGAAGTCTTCAGCAGTGCGCATCCACCTCCAGGGTTCAAACCCAGCCCCTTCCAACTACAAGGCGAGCTATCTCGTACACCATTAAAGTTACTGGGACCCAATCCAAGGGTCCATGAAGTTGGAATGAAGTTGAAATTCATGTTTTGTCCATTGGATCGGGTCATATTGGCTTAATGGCAATCTGCAATCTTGAAGGAACTCATAACATTCCTAAGGTTCGAATGGGTGTCACCAAGGACTGCCAGCAGTCACAGAAGTTACCACTGGACTCAAGAGCAGCATGAGCACCAACAAAGACGAAATCTAGGTGGTCCAAAGCATCCTATCGATCGCCTCCAAACATCTGCATTCAAAAACATTTCTACTTTAAATTAGAATCCCGCTTAGAACTTTAGATTACAGGTCAAGTAAGACGTTAAGAATCGCTTTTTAAGACAATAGAAAAATGATATGATTTTGCTCACTCACTTGATTTTCATATGAAACAGAAATTTCAATATCTGATTTCGATGTATTTGTCGATTCACTCTGCTTAGAAGAATGTGTCTCATCTTCACTTTTCTCTCGTCTTACACCACTGAGCTTTTCTTTGCCATGTTCAACATTTGGTTGGATTTCACGTTGACTTACTATGCCATCAGTTTTATCCAGCTGACTGTCTAAATGACTGGTAGTTGTATTATGTACAGTTGTCGAATTTTCGCGATCAACATGAGTGGTTGTCGTAGTAGTAGTTATACTGTTCTCCCTGGCTTCTTGTTGACAACTATCCTCATGACTGGCGATATTCTCTTTAGATGATAAAGAAGTTTTGAAATCTTTGACAGATTCTTGTTTTGAAATGCTTGTTGTATCTGTTTCATCTGGAATTACTTCACATGAAGCTAATGGTGCTAAACGTGCATGTCCTTTCACTGTACCGGTGCCTTCATCAATATCATCATGAGACGATATGGGAGTTGATGAAGATGTCTCCTTGCCTGTATCTTTACTTTCACGAGGTTGTTGCTTTTTCTCCGACTATATAATTGTAACATAATTTTTTTAAAAGAAAACAATATTTAGGATGTGAATTATATTTAAAACCATTTAAAAAATATTTTAATGATAAATTAGTTCAAAATGTTTGGTGTTTTGATATGAGAAAGATGTACTCTCACAGAAACTTTAATATTTATTTCAAATAAACCTATTGGTGGAAAAGTAACTTCATTTTCTGGCCAGCTTGATTGTGATTGGTTACTCAGAAAATCGATAATAATCCGCCATTATTGCTGGTCCAGGTGTATGAACCAATCAGAAAGCGAAAAAAGTTCACTTGTCGCTTTAGTAACCAATAGGGATTCAGATCTAGATATTTTCAAATGGTGAAGGAGTTTGCAACCTTAGAGGCAGTTGAGTAATAACGTTGATTAATTCTCAGTGAGTGAGATCACAGAAAAAGAAGCATAATGCTAACTTTTATGAATCAGATCAGTTCACAAAAGTCTGTTTAAAAATTGATGAGAATATATTGTCGTGTTAACTAGAGAGAGAATAGGCTATACACTTAGGGTCGAATGAACGACCTAGAACAAACACCAATCAAAACCATCTGGAGAAAGCCCCTCATTTATTGAGATGATACCAAAAATTTCGCATGTTGCCCATATGATGGGCATCAACCAATCAGAATTCAGCATACTGTTAACGTCTATTATTTAAGCCTTTTAGAAGTAAAGCAGGAATAACAGTGTGTGCAGAAATAAGATGCTACCATGATTGTTTATTTCGTCGGCTTCTCATCAACTGTGTACAGTTTAAGGAAATTGTTAAGTTTATGTATAGAACAACTGAACTCGATTTTAAAGGCGATAATATTGTAGGAGTAGTTGACAGAAAACTGAGTACCCCACTAACCAGAACCTATCCTACAGCTAAGTTGGCTTCTGTTTATCGGACGGCGGGTTGTTTAGTGCAGTGTAATTTACAAGCATTTGCGGTAGCAGTTATATTGGGAGAGTGGAAATAAAAACGGCACATCTCTGATTTTCTGTACATCCACCAAAAGGTCTACGACTCAAGGGAACAAACGCTTTCAGTAGGATCATTTGTCAGAAATCTCATCAATATGGGTCATGAGATTGGAATCAAAAGACAGACAAAAATAATTAAACTCTCCTCAAGTTACGGAATATACAAATTTGATCACAGGCAATAATAAAAAGACAGTTGCAACGAAACAAATTTCTTATCGACGAAGTCAGCAACTAGGCTGTACATTCATGTTTATTTATAATAAATGGGTGGGAAAGTTCCAGAATAATTTCCGGTCAAGAACCACTTCAACGTGCATTTACCAGTTTACTTGCTGGTGCAGAGCTAAGTATATCGGCCGTACTAAGCGTCAAATTGAAAAACGCGCTAGTGAACCCTATCTAGCCTGGCTAGTGAAAGGGGATCGAAAAGGTGTAAATAATTCAGTGACAGAGCATCTGGTCAATTCAGGACATTCAGCACCACTCGAATAATCTTTCAAAATCATATATAAGATTCGATCAAACCCATCAAAGGGAATAAAATTAGGAAATCTGGGCATAGCCGGGTCACTAGCTATCCAAAAGCTCAAACCCATGCTATGTATACATAAGAAATACGTCCAACCCTTGTCCCTGCCATGGCCATCATAAATAGGTAATTCTTTTAATAGTGACTATCCAGTAGCCCTATTTATACTACCATATTTTCATATCCGAACTTCCTGTCTATTGTTGTTATTTCTACATTTGTAACCCCTAATTGCACAATCAATGTGAATCTTCTCAGTAATTATGATGCTACTTTGTTTGATTTTTATCCATCCCCCATGTTTACTATGGCATTGTAGTTCGTAATTTTTATCAATTTGTCACTTGACCGGAAATTATTCTGGAACTTTCTCACCCATTTATTATTAATACTAATGAATGTACAGCCTAGTTGATGATTTCGTCGAAAAGAAAATTTTCTTCGCTACAACTGTCTTTTTGTTATATCCTCAAGTTCGCAGAAGCAGTCTCTATCAAACACCAAGAACGCATTTATATGTTGAGAAAGAAGCAGTTTCCAGTGTTTCCTTGTCTTGGTAACTAGACGACATTACTCTCTCCTTCACTTGATAATGGAATCTTTGGAATTAACATCTTCATCCCTTGGTATGGTGTAACTCTGTTTTTGTCTCTTGTTTCTATGATTTGGGCTGAACTCAGCAGTCACCCTTATATTGGAATTATAAGATGATTACAGACACAAGGAACATTGTAAAATTTACTAGCTCACTAGTTTTCCAGCCGGTCCCAAGCTCTGGCAAAGTGAGGAGGTTGGGCGTTGAGCTTGCAGCTCTACCCTGGAAAGTCAGTCAAACCGATATAGAAACTTCTCAACTGTGGGGGGGGGGGTGAGAAGACAGGAATACATTGGACTAACCGATAAGATGACTCTAAAAGACCCGGATTTCGTAAATGATCCATATATAATGTCGCAAAAACTACAAGAATTACAGCAGAAAACCGGCAAACTGGTAGATGAAGCAGGCATCAAAGTCACGACCTCAAGTGAATATAGAGAAGACGCAGGTGATGAAGATAACCAACGACCAATGACAACCACCACCGATCATTATCAATTGCCTTAGTTTATCTAGGCAGCATGGTTTCAGATAAAGGAAGGCGGATCGGACGAAGATATGAAACCCAGAATCGGAAAAGGCTACCGTTGGAAGGCGTCGAGCGCCGGGCCATCGATCGAGTAGAATCAGAATAGGGAACGACGAGTTTTACGTTTGTCCGAAGGTATGATGAAGGAGGTCATGTGAAGAGGAAATCAGAGTTTATGAGCAACCACTGAGCTATCCATCTAAGAAGTACTGCAGAAAACAAAACGATATGGAGACAAGCTGCTGAGGCTCTATGTTCCACTTGGAATCCAAGCGAATAATGATGACAATATTTTGAAGGGAGATCATTGAATGTTACGATGAAACATCCCGGTTTTAATGCATGTTTCTTTTCCAAAATTTATCATATACGGAATATTTTCCAACAAGATTCATTCTCCACATCAATTCATCACTAGTATTAATCCGCTAGATAAAGGAGTGCTAAGAATTGAACAACGCAGTCCGTGATATAATAAAGAAGAGAGTAATGTTCATTTTTTCACAGATAATTACTCATCTACTGGTATTTAAATAAGTAGCTTGTCTTCAAAATCAGAAAATGTTTTAAAATATATTTTATCATACTTATGAATAAGAAATCAAATGAGTGACATTTCTTCTCTAGCCTTTCCAAAGCATAAATATACCTCAACCTCCTTAGTGACTGAAAAGGGAGAACTTACCGTCTTAGGGTTAGGAAGGATAGGTAACTCCAGTGGCGGATCATCTCGTAAATCCACCAGTGTACTATATACAGGTGAACGTGGAATAAGGACAGTTGTCGATTGTGTTGTGTTAATTATAGGACTTTTGACTGCCATTGATGCTGGCGCTGATGTTGTTGTTGTTGATGACGTTGATGATGCTGATGATGATGAGTGGAAACTTCTATTCATGAAACTTTTACAGAATTGTTTCTCTGAGAAAAAACTACGACTATCTCCAATCTCTGAACGACTCATACAACCGGGATTATATTCTTGACCTGATACAGTAGTTGAATGATTCATGTCTGAGGTAGATATTGGACTTGGAAGTAGCTTCTTTTGAGATTTCACTGTAGTGACGGAGGCATTAGACACCTCAGTATTAGTTGTCGTTGTTGTATGTTCCAGTCTACTGGATGGCTGTTGTGTTGTTGTCAATTCGACTGGATTTCCATCCACCGTATTATTGCTGTGATGTAATTCACATCTATTATCGTCTGTCTGAGAGTTTGAATTAGGACTAGGCGAGGCATCATCTAGTCGACTGTTCACAGCTTCTTCTAGTACTGGCAATCGATTCGTAGTAGTAGTAGTAGTTGTTGTCAATGAAATTTCTGACGGCCTTTGCATACTCAACGGGTCACGTGGTTCAGGATTATCAAAATGAGAACTATTCACGATTGAGAAGAGAGAAATAAAAGAAAAAGGGTTAAAACAAAGAGTATTACCAGTTAATTTCTTAAGGTTATTTAACGTGTTTATTCAAAAATAAGGTTTTTGTATCGATTTGTGTTCGTATGCTGGGCGTATATTTGATCCCTTGTTGAAAATTCTTTGTTATAGTTAAGTTCACTTAGAGCCAATTTATTTGGACCAAGGAGTCATTAGAGGAAAGCCAATCGCCACATCCTCAAAATAAGCAGATTTGTCGTTTAATTTGGATGAGAAATGTATGAAGTGCTACTCCATAACCACTTACATTCTCACGAAATGTCCAACCCTTTCTCGTTATTATTATTTATTATTGTTCCCTTGGGTTTGTAGTGGAACATAGGGCTTCAACTGCCCATCTCCACTTGCTTCTATCTTCTGCTGTACTTTTCACCTGCATCCATGTTAGTCCAAACTGTTTCAACTCCTCTTCACGCGATCTCCTCCATGTCACCCTTGTACTGACGTCCCACTCACCGCTTCCCTTTCGGGTTCCACTCGAGCGTTGGCCTGATGCGCGATGTCACCCAACGGCCTCCTCAGTGAGTGTCCAATCCATCTCCACTTTCTCCTGCATATTTGTTGAGCGATTGGCTCTTGTTTTGTTTGTTCCCATAGTTTCTTGTTGGTGATTCTTTCCGGCGGCCATCTGATCTTGAGTATGGAACAAAGAAGGCAGTTGTTGATAAAGGTCTGCAACAGGCTTTTGGAAATATTCTTTGTGACCCACCAAGTTTCTGATCCGTAAAGAAGAACTGATTGACTTGACGTTTGTATTGAAAATCCGAATTTTGTTGCTGATCTTTCTTATTAAGTGACCTAATAAAGTCGAGAGTGGTTAGGTCGTGCCTTTATAAACTCTGTCCAGTAGGCTGTATTCTATCCTTTCACGCTTAGAGAGGTGTTCTAACGAGAATCTAGAATGTGCGGATGCGAATGTAAGGCACTCACCGCTGGAATTCAATTCATAATGCGTCTACCTAGGTGGGGGGCCGAACAACACCAATTGGAAAACCTATGACGTATGAACCTGCTCTGGTCACCAACAGTCATGGAAATCCATCTCTTGACGTTGTCCTACTGTCTTATAGATCATACTTGGAGGGCGATCCCTTAAGATAGCCACCTGCTTCAACAATACGCCTCCACTTTGCCCTCTTCTCTGCATTTGTCTTTGAGAAGGACCCAAGACTACTGATAGCCTTTCCTCTCCTCCTCATACGATCCCCTACATTTCATACTTGGACGACAACCTCGTCGTTTTCACTTGAGTGATGGACTCAGATGCCCAATGTCACCCAACGGTTTCCTTAGCATGTGTCTGACCCCTCTGCATTCGCTTCTACATATCGGTTGGTTCGTTCCCACAATTTATTCTTGCTTATTCCTTCTGCCTATCCGGCCATCAGATCTTCCCTATAGAGCTAGGGAAGTGGGTAGCTTTCAATAAAAGTTTGGGGTGGCCTGTTGGAAATGCTCTTTGTGACGCAAGATCCAAGCTCCTGAACCATTCAGAAGAAGTGACTGACTTAACATTATCGCTGAAAATCCGAATTTTCTTTCTTGTGCTGATCCTAACTCGTTTTGATATTCTCATCTGTGCCATTTGTTGCTGACATCAAGTGCGTCTTTTCATGCTAACATTCTGCTGAGTTTTTCTGTGAAATAAATGGTTGTTAGGACTCCATGCAGTTTCTAGGCAAGGCGGAGTTAGAGCTTGTGATCAAAGAGTTAAGAATCGATCAATTAAATCAATAAGCCACAACTCCACGTCATTTCAATTAGGTAGTTGACTACATTCCGTAATTCGCTGACAGATTATAACCATATAAATCGAGGCAGCCAGATAAATTAAGGCGCAGGGCATTTGTTGAAATCTCGGTTCTAAATTTGACGACGATTCAATGATGTCTGACAACTAACAGAGGCAATCAATCAATCAAAAGAAGAAACAAAATTGATGTACAAGAGTTAGTTTGTAGGGGTGTGATTTGTTTTAAGGTTGATTAGGAACTGACATCGGTTAGAGAAACATTGGAAGCCCACGGAATACTGAACAGCCGTCTCGTCCTGGTTCCAGAATCTCCAACGGTACGCACTCACAGAGGTTCGAACCCAGGACATTCCGGTTACAAGTCAAGCTAGCAGGCTATTCAGTCACCAGGGTCTGATTCAAAGGCCCATGAATTCCAACTTGTACTAATTAGTGAGTTTAGTGGGACCACTAATTGTTGTCATTGACGGCTGTCACCAGCCAGTGTCATCTGTGGCGAGTAGTTTCGATATGTGTCTCTTCCTCTTTCTAAGGCTCAAATTCTTTAGAGTAAAATCAATATGAGGCATAGCAACAAACGGATACAACAACAAAAAACTCTCTGTAGCTTACTAAGTAAAGGATTGGTTTTGATTTTGACCCATTGAACTATTATTAGAACCAGTACTGTTCTCCACATCTGGATTCGCCAATACTTGATTCAATGACCATATCACCGAGAGACCAGTAGTAAATACACGATAGGTAAGAAGAAATGTATTCAAAAAATCAATCGACAAGAATCTAGCATCTGTCAGACGATCCAACAGGCGACTAACAGTTGCATATCGAATCTAAAAAGCGTTAAAGAAAAAAAACAACAGCATATTGTGTGATTATTTTAACAATAGTGAAATTGAATTTGAATGAAACAGAATTAACGTCGGTACCATCATTGTTCATTTCGTCGGACTCTCATCCGCTGCCCACAGACTAGAGATATCATTTACTTTATGTGCAGAAACAATTTCAACATACCTACCAAGTGTGCTCAAGTATAAACAAAAAATCGGTGTATGCATAAAATGGTAATATTAGAAATAATGACCACTTTATTCCAAACAATAACAATCATACAGAATGAAATTGTCGGCGTTACGTAATCAAATAAAAAGAGAATAAAAGTATCCAGTTACCAGGATGAGCAAGGAAAGACTGATACCTGCTTCTTTCTCAATACATAAACCAGGTTACAGGCGTTTGATGGAGATTTATTATTATTATTGTTTACCTTAATTCCTACAGGAACATAGGGCTTCAGCCGTGCGTCTCCATTGCGTTCGGTTCTCTGCTAGAGTCTTCACCTGGCTCCAAGTCTGCCCACACGCTTTCATCTCCTCTTCACATGACCTCCTCCAAGTCACCCACTCTTGCACTGACGACCGACTCGCCGCTCCCCTTTCGGGTTCCACTCGAGGAATGGCTTGTCTAGTGATGTCACTTGATGGTTTCCTCAGAGTATGGCCAGTCAATCCATCTCCATTTATTCCTGCCTATTTGTTTCACAATCGGTTCCTGCTGGGTTGGTTCGCTCATTGCCAGAGATCTCTGTTGCTGATCTTTTCTGGCTGGCCATCTGATCTTGGGTAGTATTGAGCGAAGACAACTGTTGATCGATGAAGGTCTGTAGTTTGTTTGAGATGATCTTTATGACGCGCAGTGCAAGTCTCTGATCCGTCTAGCAAGTATCCCTGACTTCACATTGGAGTTGAATATCCGGATCTTATTTTTGATGCTGAGTGCTGGCTGTTGACCTCCACACAGACTTGAGAGTAGTGAAATCTTGTCTCGCTTTTCCGATTCTTGTTTTGATATCCTCATCAGTTTCGTTCGCCTGTAGTTGAAACGATGCTTCCCAGGTAGGTGGAGGAGGAGGTTGTTTCTTTCAGGTTCCTTCCATTTATGCTGATCGTTGTCTGTTGTTGTTTTTCTTGTCCAGGAACCTTGATTACCTCTGTTTTCTTTATGTTCACCTGAAGTCCTTCCTATCTTTGATGCTTCTTCTGCCAACTTGTTGCTTTTCGCTTGCATATCTTCCAGTTTGTGGGAAATCAGGCATATATCATCGGCGAAGTCCGGATCCTCCAAGTCTTTTGTGTGTGTCCATTTTATGCCTGTTTCCTCATTGCCCGCTGTCTGTCGCATTATCCAATCTACTGCAATTAGGACAATCATTGGCGATAGTAGGCAGCCTTGTCTTACTTCTGTCCTCACTTCGAAGGATTCCGTGAATTTCCTGTTGTGGATTACTTGGCATGCAGCATTTTCGTACAGCTGTTGGAGATTGCTTCGACAAACTTGAGAAGAATTGAACAATTCTGCTTTTGATAAATTTGAAGGATTTCCCAATGTCCACCACATGATCTGTTGTATTGATGAGATGTCTGACAATGGTATTGTTGAAAGCGTTTGTTCCTCTGAGACGTAGAATATTTAGTGCCTGTCTAGAATATCGGAAGTGTATCCTACTCTGTGATCACCCAAAGTAAACTGCCCCGGTAGATGCATGTGAATTTGTATAAACAGTTGGAGTTAAAACGAGAAGGAGATCTGTCGAGTTTTTATTTCACCGAAGATAAGCATGTTCTGTGATAAACGGGAACCAATCTTCTCTTGACTATTCCTGCAATATTTTCACTTTTAGAACCAAGTTGAATGAAGATGGTCTTTTTTCTCACCGTGATTTGTTTGACATTTGAGCCTTTACAGCTTCCGTACTTGTAAATAAACCTCTGAGGGTAACCGCTGTTTTTCAATATCTTCTCGGGAATCAGCAATTCTTCCTCTAATTTGTATGTACAGCATATTGTCCTAACTCTATAAAACCGAGTTTTGACCAGTGCTTGGTAATAGTTGCTTTTTAAAGAACTATTAAAGTGTAAGTCTTGTCCATTCCATGTAGTCTTTCGATAAATTGACCTCTGGAGCCTACCATCTTCCAGGCGTTGCATAGTGCGATGTCAGTGAAATGACGCCTTTCATCATTTGCATGTTCCATAGCCAATTCAATATTTGTGTGTACCTGGCTAAATATTCCGAGTAGGCATGAAGTAGAACTTTCATTGTTGCATACTACAAATGTGTCATCTGTGACGTATCGACGATAAGAAGTTATTTGGTCGATATTGCATGCTTCACTTTTGTTCTGTCAAGGTTGGACATGAACAGATGTCTGCTAAAACAACGCTAAATGGATTGCCCATAGCCTACACTATTTATTTGTCCGTAAAGAGTGTTTTTCAAACTGGAATAGTCTCCTTCTAGTTAATATCTTTTGCGTGGATCTCACTCTAAACTGAACATATTCGAATTCTCCATAATCAATATAAGCGCCTCTCTTGATGACCTTGGCTGTGATTGGCTGCCTATAATCTGTATTTATTATTGATCGATACCAATTACAACCAAGGTCATCATTTTTAACTGTTAATTCTTGTCAACTGCGCTATTGCGCGTCATCTATTGGACACTGGTCATAATGTAGACAACTTGAAGTCATTCAAAATAATCAACAAGCAAAAGAAACCTAACTTGCTACCCTTTGCTGAAACAATTGCTATCAGACGACTTAAACCAAATCTATGTACGCAGAAAGAGACAGTGGTGAATCTTGCACTGCCCTGCTGATAACAAAATATACAAATTTTATGAGTCACACTTTTTCTTGTTTAGAAAACTCTACTGTCTTATCTAAACATGACTCACCCTACCTTGTTCTTTTCTATTGGCTATTAGATAAAACATTTTCTTTAGTTACGTAATCTACCTTTTTGTTATGCTCTTTCTAGCTGAACCTTGTTTCTATACATATATATATATATACGTAACTCTGTATTTTGTTTTCAAGCCTAATTGTCTAATTATTCTATAAATAGTCAGTGTTTGTCACTCTTAATTAGTTAAATCATTCCGGACTAATGTTACTTTTACTTCCTACCAACCAATTACTCCTTGTGATCGTGGAAAACTATGTTCAAATCTTTAATGTAATTCATGTATTTGTATCGTTCAGGTTGTAACCAGTTGAGAAGAATCCTCGAAATAAATAAAGATGAGCTCATAGTATCTTGGTACAATCCTTATAGGATAGTTATTTGACACCACAGACGTGAGGCTAGCAACCCCACCCTGTAAACAAAGTTGCTACAGAAACTTCAGCACGATGAATCTCCTTGAGCCAAAAGAAGAAATCTGTGTGGGGATATGGAATGTCCGCACCATGTACGAGATTGGAAAAGCTGCCCAGATCGCAAACGAAATGAAAAGATACGGAATTCAAGTACTGGGGATATGCGAAAGCAGATGGAATGGGAATGGACTCACCAAATTGTCAACGGGTGAGTCAGTGATCTACTCCGGTCACCCAGAGGATAACCACATGCACACCGAGGGCGTGGCTATCATGATGTCACCAACGGCATCGAAGGCCTTGATGCAATGGGAGGCGATCTCGCCCAGGATAATGACCGCCAGATTCAACTCCAAAGGAAGGAAAGTGTCAGTTACACAATGCTATGCACCGACAAACAACGCAGACATCGAAAAGAAAGAAGAGTTTTACAGACAACTACAGGCAACAATGGACAATACTCCAGTTGGTGACATTAAAATACCAATAGGAGACATGAACGCCAAACTGGGACCAGACAACACAGGAAGGGAACTCATCATGGGTAGAGAAGCTCTCGGAGAAATGAATGCAAACGGAGACCTCTTCGCCGACTTCTGCGCCTTCAATGAACTAGTGATTGGTGGCAGCGTATACAAACACAAGGATATACACAAGGCTACATGGGTGTCACCAGATGGGCGAACCAAAAACCAAATCGACTTCATCTCAATCTCAAGGAAGTGGAGGCGCAGCCTGCTGGACACAAAAGTAAGAAGAGGAGTAAACGTTGGCTCAGACCACTATCTCGTACAAGGGACAATCCAAATCAAATTAAAAGCTTTCAGAGAATCAGGAGCTGCAGATAGACCACAAGCCAAGTTCAACACTCAAAAACTGAAGGACCAGGACACAAAGGACATCTTCACTGCAAGTATAAAAGACAAAGCCGAGACACAAATCAACACCGACGAAGAGGTCAGCGTCGAAAAGCACTGGAACAACTTAAAGACAGTGTGGAGTCAAACCTGCATGGAAGTTCTAGGCAGAAAGAAGAGACAAGACAAACAGTGGCTCACTACGGACACTTGGAGACTAATAGAAGAGAGAGGGATGGTGAAACAAAAGATTCTCCAGTGCACCGATGAGCAACAAAAACAGGATTTGAACGCAAGCTACAAGACACTGAACAAAAAAGTGAAGAAGAGTGCCAGAGAAGACAAAAGAACGTATTATGACAACATGGCAAATGAAGCAGAACAAGCTGCAGGTAAAGGAGACCTCGCAACACTCTACCAAACAACTGGGTACCTATCGGGCAAACGTTTGACACAAATCAAGCCGGTGAAGGATGACAATGGAAAGTCACTCACCAAAGAAGTGGAGCAAAGGAAACACTGGGCCGAACACTTCAAAAGACTCCTAAATCGACCACCACCTACAACGCGCCCAACAATACCAACAACGGAGACAGAGCAACCAGTGAACACCAACCCCCCGGCGAAATCAGAATTCCTGAAGGCAATCAAGATGCTAAAAGCTGGAAAAGCAGCAGGACGAGATAGAATCCCAGCAGAAGCATTGAAAATGGACCCAGAGACAACAGCAGACTTGATGACGCCACTACTGGAGAAGGTGTGGAAAGAAGGCAAAGTACTCGAGGATTGGAAGAAAGGATACTTATTCAAACTACCAAAGAAAAGAGACCTAAGTCAATGCAAGAACTGGCGTGGAATTATGCTCCTGTCCATCCCAAGCAAAATATTAAGCCGCATCATCCTGGAGAGAATCAAACACGCCCTGGATGAAAAACTTCGACCGGAACAAGCTGGATTCAAGAGAAACAAGTCATGCATTGATCAGATCGCCACATTACGGATCATCATTGAACAAAGCCTGGAATGGCAGTCACCTCTCTATCTCAACTTCATCGACTTTGAAAAGGCCTTTGACAACGTCGATCAAGAGGTGATTTGGCAACTACTTCGCTACTATGGGGTGACACCGACAATTATACATCTCATCCAACAGCTGTACGACAATGCTGCATGCCAAGTAATCCACAACGGGAAACTTACGGAATCCTTCGAAGTGAGGACAGGAGTAAGAAAAGGCTGCCTACTATCGCCAATGATTTTCCTGATTGCAGTAGACTGGATAATGCGACAAACAGCGGGAAATGAGGAAACAGGCATAAAATGGACACACACAAAAGACTTGGAGGATCTGGACTTCGCCGATGATATATGTCTGATTTCCCACAAACTGGAAGATATGCAAACGAAAAGCAACAAGTTGGCAGAAGAAGCATCCAGAGAAGATAGGACTTCAGGTGAACATAGATAAAACAGAGGTGATGAAGATTCCTGGGCAACACCACCAACAGCAACAACAGACAACAATCAGCATAAATGGAAGGAACCTGAAAGAAACAACCTCTTTTACCTACCTGGGAAGCATCGTTTCAACTACAGGCAGATGGAACTGACGAGGATATCAAAGCAAGAATCGGAAAAGCAAGACAAGCTTTCACTACTCTCAAGTCTGTGTGGAGGTCAACAGCACTACAGCATCAAAAATAAGATCCGGATTTTCAACTCCAATGTGAAGTCAGTGCCACTTGCTATACGGATCAGAGACTTGGACTGCGCGTCATAAAGAGCATCTCAAACAAACTACAGACCTTCATTAACAGTTGTCTTCGCTCAATACTCAAGATCAGATGGCCGGCCAGAAAAGATCAGCAACAGAGATCTCTGGCAATGAGCGAACCAACCAGGAACCGATTGTGAAACAAATAGGCAGGAAGAAATGGAGATGGATTGGCTGGCTATACTCTGAGGAAACCATCCAGTGAGTGACATCACTAGACAAGCCATTCCTCGAGTGGAACCCGAAAGGGAAGTGGCCAGTTGGTCGTCAGTGCAAGGGTGACTTGGAGGAGGTCATGTGAAGAGGAGATGAAAACGTGTGGGCAGACTTGGAGCCAGGTGAAGACTCTAGCAGAGAACTGAACGCAATGGAGACGCACGGCTGAAGCCCTATGTTCCTCTAGGAATTAAAGGATACAATAATTAATAATATATGATATATAATAATATTTGACACCAACCCTCTATTCTTCTGTCTTTTTTATTTTATCATTTAGCCCTTTTTCGTACTACTTAGTGCTACTGCCCGTTTTGTTAAACACTTATAACTAAGCCTGTCTTTACAGATAACGACGGATGAGATGAATTAAAGTCTAAATATCTCTTAGTAGAATGCGGTGGCTTTTTATAAACGCTATTGCGGTTTACCTTCTTCTGTTCGTTTTATTTTTGTACATTAAAAACCTAATAATTTCTGTAGCCTGTGAGCAGCTGACGTGCAGCTGACGAGACCAGTAATTATGGTATATTATCCATGTGATTCTGTATACACCAATATTGTTTTTGCTTTATTCAAATTCATAAAAGAGAAGGCAGGGGGAGGGAATAATTGTGTGAACAGTGAAACTGTCGTGTTTATTAGCTTTATCTTGCAGAGAGTTAGCCAAAAAGTCGAAAAACACTTCTTTTTTTAAACATCCTCCTTTTCAATGTTTTGATTGAGAACAATAAAAGAGTTAACAAGTTGTCGTCTGTACACGTAGAAGTCTTTCTGACGTCAATACCAAAAAAAACGAGTGTCTTTTCTGCTGAAAGTGATTACGTATTATCCTTTGTTATATATATTCACTTGAACATGTTTTCCCTACATTCCCTTTTATGCGTTGATAGTCATGTAATATATATATATATATAATTTTATGATAAACATAATAAACAGAGTGAACAATATTAAACCATTCAGGTAATCAATAAAATGTTTGTGGAGATTTATATGTAGACGACACGTTCGTAATAGTGAAAAGAAAAGAAAAAGGATGTTGAGAAACTCTTCTCACACACACATAAACAATCATGTCGACTCAATAAAATTCACTATGGAAATAGAGAATGAAACAATTTGGGGAACTGTCTATGTTAGACTGCAAAATACGAAGAGTAACAGATGGTAGGTAGCATAAAAACGACGCTATGTAGAGAAACTACACACTCCAGGAAGATTCCTTGATTATCACTCAGCTCATCCACTCACGGTAAAACGCGGAGGATTATTAATACAAGGTCTTGCAGATAGAATACGTAGACTTACAACAACACCAGAGGACCAGCGTAAAGAAATAAATGTCCTATTCAAAATGTTACTCGACAACAATTACCCCGAAAAGAATTTATCAAAGATAATATAAAAAAGAGAAAAAATAGGGTAAAACCGGAGAATGACAAGATGGAAGAATGCAAAAAAAACAGTCACAATACCATACAAAAATGGTATAATCAGAGGCAAATTGAAAAAACCTCAGAAATATTGGGATTTGCACAACGTTTAAACAGACGAATCTAATTAAAAATAAAATAAATCAACTGAAAGATCCCATAAAAATGACGGATAAAAACAATGTAATTTACAAACAGATATTTTGTGCCGAGTGTCCGACTAAATATGTGGGTCAAATGTTCAAATCACTCAAAATAAGAGTGAATGAATATAAGTGCCTAACCGACTAAAGGTCATCCAACAGGAACACAAGCGTAGCAGAATTTAGAAAAAAATTCATCTATAGCTGCACATGCATGGGACAAAAACCACAATATCGATTGGAACAGTGTTTGTATTCTAAAAACTAATATGAACAAATGGAAAGAGAGACTTATAACAGAATCGATATTCATTAAGGATACACGCTGGATACATGTAACAAGGGTGACTCAGTACAACTACCAACAAACTGGAATATAATTCTGAATATAAAAAACATGAATAAACAAAACAAAATGAACTATATATATGAGTACAAATCATAAATATGTGAACAAAACAATTCCAACAGTGGTGTGAACACGAGCAGTAATTCTGCTCGAAATATCATCAATAACAAAACTTATCATTGTGTGTGTAAACTATTGAAATATAATTATACTTTATTTGAACAATATTGGTTACAAGGTTTCATCGTCAGCTGACATTGGTTAGAGAACCATTGGAAAACCAGCTGGGAGTACTGGACGGCTGTTTCCCCGTCCTAGTTTGGGACTCTTCAGCAGTACGCACCCGCCAATGAGTTACAAGGCGAGCTAGCTCATAGACCATTAAGCCACAGGGACCTAATGGTTCTCTAACTAATGTCAGTTGCATATACATACATATATATATATCAGTTATATAACCACTCAATAGCTATCTCGTCCTGGCTTCAAACTCACCAGCAACTAGCTAGTTAACTAGCTATTTAGTTAGTTAGTTAGTTAGCTGGTTGGTTAGTTAGTTAGTTAGTTAGTTAACTGGTTAGTTAGTTAGTTAGTTAACTGGTTAGTTAGTTAGTTAGTTAACTGGTTGGTTAGTTAGTTAGTTAGTTAGTTCATGGTTAGTTAGTTAGTTAGTTAGCTGGTTGGTTAGTTAGTTAGTTAGTTAGTTATTTAGTAAGTTAGTTAGTTAGTTAGTTAGTTAGTTAGTTAGTTAGTTAGTTAGTTAGTTAGTTAGTTAGTTCATGGTTAGTTAGTTAGTTAGTTAGCTGGTTGGTTAGTTAGTTAGTTAGTTAGTTATTTAGTAAGTTAGTTAGTTAGTTAGTTAGTTAGTTAGTTAGTTAGTTAGTTAGTTAGTTAGTTAGTTAGTTAGTTAGTTAGTTAGTTAGTTAGTTAGTTAGTTAGTTAGTTAGTTAGTTAGTTAGTTAGTTAGTTAGTTAGTTAGTTAGTTAGTTAGTTAGTTAGTTAGTTAGTTAGTTAGTTAGTTAGTTAGTTAGTTAAACATTTAAAATCATTTCATATATATTCAATTGTGTAGTTCATCATTTTGGCCTCAATTCTATGAACCACAATGCGGGAGATAGAGACAGACATTTAAATTATTGGTCAAAGGAAATAAAATTATTTAATATAAATTACCAACTAGCCAATCAATCAATAAATAAATCAATTTTCAACTGATTAACATAAATTTAAATAAATTAAACCACTTGTCTTTTCCTCTTACCTGAGGAACTTTACAAGAGTTCAATGTATGACTGAATTTAATGTCAACATCATCTTTAAACAACTTCGGATCAGATCTGAAATGGAATGGAAAAAAGGAAAACAAGTTTTTATATATCCACACATGTATATGCTTTGAAGAAATTTAAATAATAAGCGTTAACACTCATCGTCATAATAATAATAATAATAATATGAAATATAATAAAGCGTTTACGATTATAATCATATTTTAGTATCAAGTGATAAGATAATCAATTTTTTTGTTAAAGTCTCTGAATGCAGCACAGAGTGACACGAGTTCAAATCCCAGACAGGGGACATGAATTCTTTGGAGATTTTAGATACGCTAACACTGGTGGCAAGATGAAGTTGCCTGGAGTCGGTTCTGGTGAGAATTTGTGAACACTTAGTGGGGTCCGCTAGGCTGGGAGTGGGGAAAATTACTGGTTACGGGTGACATTAGCTGGTGTCAGTCGCCTAAAAATCAAGAATTAGTAGAAGTCAGTGTTTATGAGTCGACCAGTCAATAGGGTCCCACTAGCTGGGTCATTTACGAGCTTCCCTTGTAACCCGAATTTCCTGGGTTCGAAACCAGGCGAGTTTATTTCTGATTCTTTTTTAACTTATTTGAATACATAGAACAGAGACAGGGAATCACTGTTCCAACTTCCTTGGGTCGTTTGCTCATATGTGAATTTGTCCCGAGTACTTGGAAGAATGCGGAAATCTTATCAAATGTTATCCTTAGCTGTTTTAAACTGTATTATTGATAACTTTTTTACACAGATGTAATATCAATTTTGTAGGGTTGTGACTATAGTATGCGCAGAAACACCTTTCTATTGCTTTTATTCTCATCCATCATTTTTATTACAAAAATCTTATTTTAATAGTATTTATACTAACCGGATAGACTGAGGCATTGCTACTGATGAGACATCTGATTGAGCTGAATTCAAAATATCACCATAGTGTAATTGTTCAATACACTAAAAAAAAGAGGAAAAAGAAATCAATCAATCAATCGAAAATCAATAAATTTGTAAAGAAAATATGACTCATCATAAATCATCGGTGGAAATCAACAGGAAGTCGAGGGCATAGGTTTCTTTCTGGTATACACTTGTCAGCAAGACCTATTTACAGTCTTGAAGGAATTTATTTTAATGGACGAATTGTTTGGAAAATCCTTATCGGACGGTATATTTATAATGTTTAAACATATATTTAGACGTTTTAGTTAAGTTTGTAATCTTAGATTTTCCCATCGATTGATTGGACCGAACTGCTCGGTATCAGGTTGAAATGTCGGCTTCTTGTGCAGACGATGTCTGAGCATGTAATTAGAATATACTTGTTGGATGGTGACTATCAGTGGAATTCAGGATGTACATTTCGTCCTACATGGGGCTCGTCACTGGACGCACCCGCATTCTCCAGTGAGTGATGATGTTCCCATCCATTAAATGCCCAGATATCGTCGAAGCATCTGCACAAGAAGCCGACATGTCAACATGAGGCTGAGCACTTGGGTCCAATCAGTCGACGGGAAAATCTAAACTGAATTAGATAATTAATTTGACCTGTTGCACAAGAGGTGTCTATCGTGGCTTAAGTGGTCTAGTAGATGACGCCTTGCCGTTGGAAACTATAGGCACCGGGTTCGAGCCTCGGTGGGAACATCATCACTCACTGTGGAATGCAGGAACATCCAGATGACGAGTCCAAAATGGGACGAAATGCTCATCCTGGCTTGATTCCACTGCTAGTCACTATCCACCAATCAAGTTTTTAATCACTTTACGTTTTCCCATCACCTAGACTGTGTATTAATTAATTCGACATTTGCATATCACACTGATATTGACCTTTTTTATTTGCTTTTGTCCCTCTTTAATCTTTAGTTGTATTACACCTCTTTATGGTTGTGTGTATACTGACAGTGTTTTTCGAGTTTAACCACGCATTGATATCATATCAAGGTGATTGATATGAAAGTGAGCGGCAATAATTTGTACTCAAAACGTTATCAGTAAATATTACCTACTGTATAACACTGTGAGACTTTATCAAAATAAATTTTATCCATAATGGAATTCTACTCTACCACAGTGCTCGGTCTCAGGTTGATATGTCGGGTCCTAGTGCAGATACTTCAAAAATGTCTGGTCATGTATATTCAAGTCAATCGCTGAATGGTGCGTTGAATGTGCGTCGGTGGCACAGTGGTTAGGACTCTCGCCGACCATGCATATGGTCCGGGGTTCGATCCCCTGCCGGTGCACACCCGATATCTATGGTCGGCATGATTCGGGC